CTGCACAGCCCTATATCCCAGCACAGGCACTGGGCCCCGCTCACCTGTCTAGTTGAGAATCTAGGCCCTTGTAGGGGCGCGTGACGGTGCTCACTGCTACAGCCTGGATCAGCAGCCCCAAGATGAGTGGCAGTAGAGAGCCAGTGGTGGGTACAGTCACTATGAGGCTGTGTGGCCGTTAAAAAGCCAAGCCGTTAAAAAGTTCCTCCCTGGCCCCGCCCCTTGACCCGACTCCGCCCTCACTGGCCTTGTCTCCACTTGACCCCACCCACCTGCTCTTTCTCTCTGAACTGGACTGTTAGTCCAAGGGAAATCTCACCCCACTGAGCTGTCGTCCTGCCTGTACCTTTTCTACCTTCATTACCATCTCTGTGGCAGGGGTAATGATTCTTAACTCCACAGTTACCTGCCAGACCCCATCCACCTGTCCTTGACAGGTCCCCCCAAGGGGATTTTTCCTCCAGCCCCACCCACATCAGTCCTGCCCTCCGTTACCCCACCCTTTGGCCTTCTGCCACCCTTTGGCTCTCTTCCTCCCCACTACTGCTGTTATTCCCAGTGTGGGCCCTTGAGACTGTATGGAAACGATCATGGCTTTGTCCAAGGAGAACGGCATCTCTCTGGTACACACAAGGAAGATGACACATGTCACCAACTGGGCAACCAGGTACAGGCAAAGGGACAGGAGCAGCAGCAGCAGAAACAGCTGGATGCAAAAGTGCCCCGCGTAGTTGCTCACCCAAGTTCAGTGATGGTCAAAATCCAAAGGGAGAGGAGGCAGGCTTTGAGTGTCAATCTGACCTGGCTTCCAATACCCCCAAATGCTCAGGCCTTCCCCAAAGCAGACTGCAGGCCTCTTGCTCTTGGCCCTACACATGGGCTCCCATCTCAGGGAGAACCTGGCATTTTCACTATTAGAGCACAGTTAGGACTCCATGACTAATCAGGTCATCTGCCATGAATGAGGTGTTTGGGGACTGAACCTGCCTGGTGTCACTTACAGCTGGATATAGAATCACTCTGGGCCTCTGTTTTCTCAGATGCTGGATAAGGATGGAAAGACCTCTCTGGCCCAGCCAGCCTTCTGCACTTGGAAATTCGTGCAGGGTGTACACATGAGAGAAGAGTACTCAGAACCTAGGAAACATCTAACTTGGACACCCAGATGAAGACAGGCAAAGATCCCCAGCATCTGGCCTAAGGGTCTGGGTATATAAAATCTGCAAGCCAAGGGATGGGACAGGTGCTTCCTTTATTCCCCCTGACTCTGCCCTTTACAGGTCAGCACCTGTGCACACAGGGCCAGCCTCTCAGGACTGGTACAGACACATAGGCAATAACAGATGTAAGTGACCAAGAGGGACTGAGAACCACTTTTAGCAGTCTGGGAAGATGGTCTCATACCCACCCTTGACCCACTTACACTGTGAGTTCCTGGTCCTGATCAGGTGCCCCATGATGGGTTGGTAAGTGGACAGGTAGAATTCTCACCTCCACACAGATGTTACAACATTCACAGTGGAAGGACCTGTGTGGGTGGTAGAAGGAGCAATGGGGACACCAAGGTGTCAGAAAGGCCCATCAATACATCCAGATGATGTCTGCTGTCTTATTGTCCTGCTCGAAGGAAGCTGGCATAGGAAGAGGTTTGGGCATTTGCAAGAGAC